ACATAAAAGAAGTTTCAAGTTTCATTGTCATGTACAGATAACAGTGTAGCCACATTTATCCATAATGAAATTCTTTGGCTCGTGCTCCTCAGCTTTACATGAGCATATAGAGAGTGTGCAGTTATATTGAGAAGAAAATAACAGAAAATAGCAGTGGTAGTAATATAATAATAATAATAATAATAATAATAACAACAACAATAAAAAGGAGAGGAAAGAGTATTAAATATTAGAGAATTTAGTTGGTATTTACATTTAAGACAAGTTGGTATTTAATAAAGTACCAAAACCCAACAAACCAGTTTAGACCGCATTCAGAACCAAACAGGAATCCCACTGACTGAAGCCCTTTGTTTCAAATATCTGAAAAACTAAACAGGCACATCAGAGAGGCTGAAGAGGACACAGGAGAGTCAAGCAGGAGGAAGATGAGGAGGAAGAGCAGCTGGCCTGGAGTTCAGAGGAAGAAAGGGGCTCTGGATGCAGGTTCCTGTTTATATCTGTGCCTTTAAGAAAAGGAGATTGTGGCTTGTTGACCTAAAACAATTCCCCTCGAGCAAAGATGAAGACGAGGTCTCGTCTTTGTTTCATCTCCCATCGTCACTGACGGCCATTAAACGAGTCACTATGGTGCAAACCAAACCTGCCTTTGTTACAAGTTTCATTTAAAACTATCTCAGAGTGGACGGCAAAAGAGGCATTTTTAAAAGTTGATGAATATTTTAAGACAGCGTCTCACCTGTTTAATGCTTCTTCCTGTTTCTTGATTCGGGGCATTTCTTTCATTAGAGCATCCCAAAAAACACAGAACTAACCACAACGTTGAATGTACAACCCACTATGAGAAATTCAAAACTACCTTGTCGTCACATCGTGTCAAAGTGGACTACAAATGCAAGATTGTGGAAGCTGGTTCTGTCCGAGTTTTCTGATATTGCCAGTTCAGCATACCCTGTTATCCTCTACACACATACATATATATATATATCCTGTATATAATCGTTGTTGTATATGCTTTGAAGTCTAAAATTAGTCACATTCATTGAGCAGGTTTGAAATCTTTTGGTCATTCATCCACTTCAAAGACACGTGCACGCTTATAGTACACACACGCAAACACACGCATACATATTGTACAGTTCAAAGCAGAGGGGTGTCCAGTCAGTCTGTCCACATTCATACAATCGTGGGAAGCCTGCAGACCAGTAAACACAATAAACACCCCCAGAGGTCGCCTTCAATCGCCTCTCCTTAGGCTCGACTCAGGTGGAGAAGCTGAGCACACCCTCCCACGGTAGCCGTGTAGAAAAGAGGATAAACAATCCATCCTCAGGACCCCAGGCGACTGGGTGGGGGCCAGCAAACATCCCCTCTCTGTGTCAGGAGTGTTTCAAAGGCAGCTTGAGGCAGTTAGAAGTGGTTTTCATTTCTCAAACATGTTTCTGCCCTGGTTCCTCAGTGTTTTAGGAAAGAGGTGTGTTTTTAAGGAACAATGGAGGTTGTTTAAATTTGCTGAAAAGACTGGAGCTGTAAATACAAAGCAGAGTCTCCAGTTTCCAGAGACGTTTCTTCCTAATGCACTGAGTGAAATCACTTTTCTTCTTTTGGTTTTGATCAGTTGACAAGTTGTGAAATACATCTACTCATAGCAAAATAAGACTCAGATCAAAGTTTTTTGTTTTTGTGAGTTTATTTGGTCTCATTCTTATCCATCTTGTTTCATTGCTGTTTCAATGGGTGTTTTTCATGGTTCATTTTTATTGTTAGTTTCTTATCTATTAGGGTTTTATCTTAAGACGGTAATTAGCTGTGACAACAAGTCTGTTTACCATTACATCATCCATTAGCTTTATAATTTCAACACAGAGCCAACTATCCAGTAGTTAGTGTTACATATTGGATCAATAAAATCGAAACTGGACCCCAAACTTCATACCTGTCAGATATTAAAGCCATTAAAAATTAGAACCAGCACTACAACGATTGTGAGGATGAGCTGCATCAGCGATGGGGTCTAGCAGACAGTTTCCTGCTACTGCTACTTGTCAACTAAAGTAACCGTGCTCCTAATTCTAAGCCTCAAAAATTTAAAGTGGTTTATTTAAAAAAGAAAAAAAAACCTTTTCAGTTTTTTTTGGATCATGCTGTAAACATGCCCGTTTCAGTGCTGAAGTTAGACATTTTGTAGGAAGCGCCTCATTTATGTCGTCAGTCTCAAG